CCGTTCCTGGTATGAGTGAGGGGCTCATGATACTTCATTTGCAAAGCAGGTGACCTTGTAGTCTTAAGAGGCTTAGTCTACAGAAGTGTATTGGATTCCTGGTATGTTAGCTAAATTATGGTGGGTGTGGCCTTCTATTGGTGTCTTCGACGACTCTTATCGTGCTTGCGAACCTTGTGCTGATTGTGCATTAAGGCCGTTCTTGGGCTAAGTGGTTGAGGGCATCGAGGTGAGCACTCTATTTTTAGCCTTCTTAGCTGAACTATCGAATATGAGGATCCTTTGGTGTACTTTCTCTTAGCTTGTTTCTTCGCGATCAATCATGTGTATCTTGTATCAACTTTGTGAGCCTTTCTTCCATCTCTACTATGTCATAGGAAGGGTTTAGGTGGTGTTTTCCATGTCTACCGACTATTCAGGGTTGTGCTGCTCTTTAGTCACTAGTATAAATCTACACTCATTGCACTTTTGAAGATGTTGGATTTGAATTTGTTTGTGGATGATACCCAATTTAACTAATAGCAATCTCGAGTCACGAGTTGGAGTGGATTTCGGGCTAGTATGGAGAGAGAGAGCTCTGTGTCCTAGAAGAGAATAATAGCGAAATTAGGGACAATTGGAAATTAAGATCATCTAGGGCTCTCGAAGGTAAAAAATCACCAAAAATTCTAGAAGTCTCAGAAGAGGCCTCTTCACCCTTGGGTTTAAAGGGCTACAATAAATGCTACTAAGAGAATCTTAAAAAATAATACAAAGTACAATGTGTGACATCATTTATTACAGGCTGTCGTATACATGTGACCTAGCTGATTGACCTCTATATGGATCTCTGCATATAATAGAACCCTTGGTCTCGTGGTGAGTCATTTGTGCGAGTTTTCATGGGCAAGTGCATTGAGAGAGTCCTTGGGGCTCTTTATATTGGGCGAGTTTGTAAAAGTGAATTCTTTGGACATGGTGGTGAGTCCATTGAGATGAGATTCCTACTGCTAGAAGTGAAAGGGTGAGCTCTCTTGAGACGAATAGGTTGTGGATGGGCAAATGACAATCTATGCCTGAGAAATCGGAGTTATTGTTTTTTAAGTGTTTACTTCTTATAGCTGGATCGAGGATATCAGCGGAGGCTGAGTAGCTTGACTGCAGGGAATGATTGTAGATGAATGGTTCCTGATGACTTTAGTGGTGTCTGAAATTTAGATGATTTTAGTTGAGTCCACTTTACGAGACCTGTTTTGAGTATGACTCCTATGGTTTGTTTTGCCTGAGCAAGTCTTAATATCATTATCTTGTTGAGAGCATGACCGTGACCCTGTGGAAAGATGTTGACCAGCTTGTTGTTCAAATGCCTTTCTTTGCTTTGAGTGCTTCTCTTGGGAGGTGGGATTCTTTAGGGTGAGAATCCCAGTGAAAATTTATTGTACCTACATGGACATGTACGAGAGCGTATATTGACCTTCAATGTACCCTAAGGAAGTCAAAAGCGTGCAAAATAACATAAAGCTCTTTCAAATTAAAATATTTTCAATTCTCAATCTAAGAAAAAGGCATCAATTCCGGATGCTATGCGAGCTAGTTTGTTCTATAAAGCATTGGCATGAACGGTCCTCCATATGAAGGATAAGAATTCAATGGACTTCTATAAATACAAACCTCATCTATTCAGACGCTGTGAACTGTTTTAAAGGTTGCCACTTTCATAATGACATAAGTTCTTTTTTTATTATGGTACAAACTCAAGAAATTGTCTTAGGGGTGTGATGTAGTAGATGCTACGAGGCACATGCGATCAGGAGTAAGCTGGGTTCTTCCCTTGGAATTAGTATTCTGAATCTGGTTGCAAAATGCAAACTTATCTAGTTCAAATTTCCCTCGACCAAGTCCTTTTTTTTTCCATGAGAAATGTGGTCCAATAAGAGCCTTAGTGAGGATGAGAGGAAACTCCTGAATAACTGTGCATTTAAATTAGGTTTTGTGAATTGTTGTTGTGGTATACAAATATTTCTATATGCTTAATAAATTTCTTTTTTATGAATTGCATTTAAACGAGTACTCAAAATACAATTACGAGGTAAAGTATCTTTCGTTTCCCCGTAGTTTCTTCAAATCAAACCGAGCCTAAAAGAGCTTATGCTTGGTAAGAGATGGAAATTGATGTTTATGTCCCGTAAAGTGTAAAGTTTCATTAGTCACACTGAACCCTCCCTGAATTTCTTTGTAAGAGGAGCCTTTGTTTTTTGAATGAGGGTGCAAAGCCCAAAGTAAAAGAACCCTTTCTTTGCATGAGAGGGTGAAGTCCCGCTTAAGAGGAGCCTCTTGCCTATAATATTCTCTTTTTGTGTCTAATCTCCGTGCTCATGGGTCTTTGTTTATATGAGGCTTGTATAATGAAATTCTCCAAGTTATAATTGTGTTATTATTTTGGTTAAAAAAACAATAAGCATATTTAGAATGGGGTATCATTATACATATGACTTGCTCATGTAGTTCTAATTGATGAGATTTTTGTTAAAATAAGCAAAATGTTAGAACATAAGAAGAATTATTTAGAATATATGGGGCTGAGAATAATAGAACAAAAATTGATCATATAATATCTAGTTCTAATGAATGTGAAATGAAGAATAGAGTAAATATTTCTTAAAGACCAAGTGATACATAGGCTTGATTGTTTTAAGCATTTTGTATCTCTATACAGAAGAATGGTGATGCAGACCTAAATATAACTTCTAAACTTAATAGTTGGAAGATTTAATTAGAGAAGTTTTTTATGAGTACTATGTAATAAAATTTCATGGATATGTGAATGTAAATTTTATGACTTTTATCAGATTAAATATGTTATATGGATCTTATTGTTGATTGATAAATAAAATTTTGACAGTCAAGTGTATAACAAAAGAGATAAATATGTTATATGGATCTTATTGTTGAATGATAAAGAAAATTTTGAAAGTCAAGTGTATAACAAAAGAGTATGTTACCGATGAATGTGACAAATTTTGGAAGAATGGATTGTGAGATGTTGTGTAGGAGATACTATGGGAGTTGCTCCAACTATAAAAAGGGATTGGAAAAATATCTTGGTGATTTGGGCATTGCAATGGAGGGTGGCAGAGTTACCAATATGACGAGTAGTTTAAAATTAATCTAGAAGGATCAGAGGAAAAATATTTGGGAAATTTACAAACATACCACTATATTAGTATCATTTTATATATCTAATACATCAAATGTTAATATTACACTTATACCACCCAAATTCCTATGTTACCTCGTTTCAATCAGTCCGTCTACCACATACTTCACGACGTATTTCTTCCCGCCAAATTCCCCCCTTCACGCTCAACTTCTCGTGAGCTGTGTCTGTTTTTGTGAACTCCTTTGCGCGGACATCGGCTTGCAAATTCCTTCCGGGTTGCTGCCTTCCAGCGAGGTAATGACTCCATTCAAAGTCATGCTCTTCTTTGAAATATGAAAGTATAGCAACTACGTAAAAACAATGAAAATATAGCAACTATTTATTGTTATTTCTACTGAGAGCACGTAGGGAGAGCTACAACAGAACTCAGCTAGTTACGTCTACAACCTCATGCATACAAAAAAAAAAAAAAACCAAAAAGACCTAGAGGAAACTGCACTTGGGAAACACAATCGCAACCTCATGTATACAAAAAAAAAAAAAAAAAGACCATGTAAAAAAAAAAAAAAAAAAAAAGACCTCCCAAGCCAACTAACAATGCTACCAGCCACCGCTTATTGTCTTTCGAAGCCAACGAACAATGTCCGGCCACCACGGTCCTCCAAAGCCAACGAACAAATGTCCAGTTGCGAGCCCTAACTTCCTTCAGATGCGCACCAAACAAGGGGGAAAAAGATATCGTGAGGACCACAGTAGACGGAGTGATAGAAATGAGGTAAAATAGGGATTTGAGTGGTATAAGTGTAATATTAATATTTGAGATGTTACATATGTAAAAGGATAAAATGTAGTGGTATGCATGTAAATTTCCTAAAATATTTTTGCCACAATATAGATGGAAGTACGAACGGATTTGTGCAAAACACCTCAAACAACGTTTAATCACAAGATTTGTACACCTCAAATAACATGAGAATAATGATTCATAATGCCAACCACTAAATAGTTGGTATAAGTAAAAAAAGAAGATTATGATGATTATCCTTATTAGTTATGATTATTATATAGGAAAACATTTATGATTTTCTTGCCCCCTGTTATGCGATATGTGTTTGTGCATATAAGGTATATTTTAGCGGCATTTTTTATTTATCAATGCTCATTTTATGGTAAATTTTATGAGGTGCATGTTAGAAATTCGTTGCATCCGAGCTTACTGAATTAGATTCTATTTACTTGGATACGTTTATTTTGCTGGTGTATTTGACATGGAGAGGGTTCCTCGTAAGCTATAATTATTAATCAAGGAAATTATGATAACTAAATTCTATGATCTGGATGGCGGAACTGTGACATTTTTTAGCTTTACTTTTTTGTTGGAAAGTTTTTATTGGTGTTTTCTCGAAAACGATATTGGCTTTGGAGCTTATATTCATATGTCTACACAATTGCAAGTCCGAATAGTCTTAACCACAATTTTTGGAACAAGAAGTCCTCATTCTCTCAACAAAGGGAAATTTTGTATGAGAGAAATTGGGTCAAGGTACTTTGATCAAACATTGGCCAGTAGTTTTAAAAAAAAATTAAATTTACTTTCAGACAATTCTATTATAAAAATTAATTGATTATTCATACATTGATGTGATCTCAAAACAAATTTAAGATTCTAAAAGTCCATATTGATTCAATATTTTAATCCACTTTTTATGTGTAGGATTTTGACGTAGATAAGCTCTTTTTGATTCATTCATCCATAGTTGTAATTTTGTATAGGTTCTTGATTGGTGCTACATGATACCAAAACTCTACAAAAGATCAGCGTATTCTTATTTCTATATTGATTGGTCTATCTTATGTGCAGCTTGTCCCTGGTGGTTCCCCTGACCCTGAATGACCCGCAGCTTGCTTGGCACAGGCTTGCTTACATTTTCTTGTTTGATAATCCTGTAGTGATTTGTAGGACAGCCTATTTACTTTTAGCTCAGGAAATGATGTCAAAATCAGGAAGATATCCTGGCAAAATTCATGAAAATATATTTTTCTTTGTTATTTGGAGCTCCTGCATCTCCCTGGTTGATTTGTAGGTTAATATTTTCACCTAACCCTTATTTAAATTACTGCCTTTTTATTTATTGATAAGTTATCATGCTGAGAATTCTGGTGCAGACAACCACTATTCATATTTGTTTGTGATTATTAAGTGAGGCCGTAGGCTAATTAAGGTTTTATTATTCCTCTTTTCTTTTTATAGTTCAAAAATTTATTGGAAGCAGGAAAAACAACCGTGGCCTAAAGTTGTTTCAAACACACAATCGATCAGTTTTATAATATATTAACATTTTTTTTCCCTTAGAATACTCTTTCAATTTTTTTTTATATAATAAATTTTTTTAAATATTACATGAAAAAAGTAATTTTAACATTGATAAGCAATTTTGATACTCGCAAATTTTAAAATGAAAGAAAGCATGTTTAATTAAAAATATTAGATCACGAGAGTAGAAATTCTTGGTATGAGTAAAAATTAGCAAAATCATGAATTCATTTATAATGCTTTGGGTGAACGATCATGTCTGTAGTGGTTGATTGTCAAAATTTAATTAATATTTAAATTTTATGATCATCCTATTATTAGTTGATGGGTGAGTCATTCATAATGAATTGGTGGCATGAGCAGATCTGTTAGTTTGATAGTTAAAAAAAAAATGTTAATTTATTATAGAATTAAGTAAAACATATGTAATTTTCTGTCTGTGATATGTTTAGTTTCCACGAACCGAAAAAAGTGCATATAGTTTAGGTAATTGATGGCAGTGTGAGATACTTGTCCCTATTTTTTAATTGTCTGCATATGCGTTTATTATTACGTTTAAATGTTGACGAAATATTATGTGATTATATAAATAATAAAATGATAAGTAACAGGGGCCGAATTAATCTCTTTTGAGGTAGGTAAAATAAGATTATAAAATATATAATTTTATGTATAAAATAGGAAAAAAAACTTAGAATTTGTGCAAGGTGGCCAAAATAGTTAAATTCTTATTCTTTTAAGGGAAAAAAAATTTGGGTAGTTGGTCACCCTAAGTTCTTCCTAGTTCCACTCCTAAAAAGTATTATGTATAAATTGTGAGAAATAAGTACTGAACTAGGTTCACATTATGCCATTCGAACAATCTAATTAGAGTGGAGATTTGTGAGAAGAAAAGAATATTAAATTATTTTTAAAAAAAAAACTTAGGATTGACAATTAAATGATTAAACATATGTAATAGATTTCATCATATAGATTTGATTGAATACAATCAATTAGCTATACAAAGTTATTATAACCAGATCGATGAAAAATTCATCTTTCTCATGAATGCTGTGGGCTCCAAAAATTTGCACCCCGGCTTCCCCTGCTTTTGGGAAGAGTTTTAATGGATTAAGTTATGGGGTAAATTTTCAGAAGGCATATTAGGTTTGTAGATAAGACATTACCAAAGATTTCGCCCTCCTTTTACGAGGACTATGCAATTCAAGTTCTAGTTTCCTATAGGTGCAAGACTCTATAGTTAATTACCTCTCACAATAACAATAGAGAACTTTCAATTATGGCTAGTCGTTAATCTTATACGTAGTTATATATTTTATATGGCAAATAGTAGTAGCATGGGTAAATATTTGAAAAATTGATATTTAAAATATGGAATTTTACCATCTTGCACTTAAAGTACATGGTGAGGAAATGAATGATGGATCCGATCAAGATCCTATTGTTCTGTAGTCCCGGGCCATCATGGTCCATAGTTTACTTAGTTAGAGGAAGTAGTCGACCCAACCTGACAGAAGGATCCTTGTCGGCAGCCATGGGCTGCTTCATCTAAGGGTAACTTATAAACCTGTGGTGAGTATTTGTCTAAGGGGATAAATTTAAGTCCACCTTAGCTAACATAGGGATTTGTTCCCTATAGATCATATCCTATTGATTAATATCTCAAGAATTTGTTATCATTGGGGACCATATGGGTTTTGGCCATGATCATAATTTAGTGATGTCATTTGGCGGCAAACCACCCGGTTTAGAGGGCTCCGATCATAACTATTTACATGTGCTGCTATTTGACAGCAAAATCACCAATTAGAGGATATGTGCAACGTCCCCGCTAGTAAGAGACTGATTGAGAATGAGGCAGAGTGATATTATCAACAAGATATTAGCTCTTTATGAGATGAAATAATTTTCATATTTGTCCACCTCGACAAATTGTTATGGAGGATGAATGGGTTTTACTTTAAGCATTTGATGGTTATATATCGACTTTAAAACATGTTAGACTTTGATATTTTTGGAGTTTTGAATTTTATGGGCATTTAGGTGGTATTTTTTAAGTGTTTGTGAACTTAACCCCTTCGGTTGAGGTCTACGTTCAATACAACCAACTTTAGGGTACATGGGCTTTTTTTTTTTGGTAGGCTTGGTGCCTTGGTATATTCTTGAAAATTAACCCATCCAAATGAGATTTACATTCAACATAATAATTATCAGGGTAATATGAGTATTTATATTTTATTGATTGGACCTTATTGACATACCCTGTATATTTGTCGACAGATGATCAAGTCTGTTGTCGGCTACATGCTTTTATTAATGGATTTTCTTCATTATCAGCCTTTAAGGCCTAATATGATTTGTAAAACAAAACATTATGGTTGATGTCGTGATCGTATATTTATTCATTGGTTCAAGTTGTGTCGACTCTCGTTCTATCAAGGAGAAGGATTGAACTTAAAGCTAAGTTCATTTCTTGACTCGCACAACATCCTCAGATGTCACGTGTGTAAATACAACATGCTCGTCAGGGCCCATGTGAGTATTTGAGGGCATTTTTATGATTATCTATTGAAACTTGTCATCTCTGTTTAATTCCTGACTGAGGACCAGAATCATTATTGGTTTCAAGTTTAATTAATGATTTTTCATCATTATATATCTTGAAGGCATAATATGAATGTATTAAAATAAATATCACACCATAATCGTATATTTATTTGATGGTTTGAATGACGTCGACTCTATTGACTCGTATAAAAGGATCATACTCGAACTTTGATTTATTATTTTACATGTACACCATCCCTAGATGTCACGTGTATACCTGTAACACACTCATTGGGGCCCATGCGGGTATGCTTTTATTAGTGAATTTTCTTTATTATGATCCTTGAAGGATTAAATTTAACTATAAAATAAATATTCCAGTTGATATCGTGATCGTATATATGTTTAACTATTCAAGTTATGTTAATAACCATCTAATCATGGAGGAGGATTGAACTTAAACTTAAATATATGTAATTTTAACCCGTGCAACATCCTTAGATGTCATGTGTGTACCAACAACATGCTTCCTGGGGCCCATGCAGGTATATGATTGCACATGCATTTGTTTGGGTTTATATGCATACACATTATAGTGCATATGAGGGGACATTTTTGGAATATTTGACATTGGTCAGTTGTGCGGGCAACTATCATTTGAACATGAGCGATGCTTTCTATGAGAACTTGTAGATGCCTTCTATCCGCTTGTATGTATGTTGCAGATCTGGTGGCGTAGCGTTGTACTATAATCATTTGCCATTTCATATAATTAGAATATCTTGAAGTACTTTTTGCTTTCTACACATAGATTATTGTGAATTAATGAATCTTCTGCTATCTCTCATTGATGACTATATTTGCCATGAGCTTGATTCTTCTTTCTGCAATCAGGTTGCTTTGCATGTGTTTGTTTGATTGAAAAAGATTAAGTTTAAAAAAGATTACTTTTTTGGGATAATTAAATTTCAAAAATTTTAGTTTTTTGAATTGAACACATCATTATGAACGATATATCACATTGGGAGGATAAAAGATTATTACCAAGTGAGTTCGGATTACAAAATTTTGAATTTATCCTGATAATCATAGTCAAATTCAGGGAATGATGACATACTATCCCTATGATCAAAATGATGTTTGATAGAGTGTTTGAACATAATAATCCTGATCATTAATTTTATAATCAAAATCATGATAATAAAATGATATATCTTCTGGAAGGAAGAAAATATCGTTCAATGTCAATATTTTGAAAATGATGATAATGACTGTTAAATTTGATTTTTTTAAAGATAATTAATTGAATTTTGAAAATTTAATCTTGGTTCTAAATTTCCTACGAGTGCCAGCTCTCGTAGTTAATTATATTATAGGGAAAATCAAAGTTTTCTATGAAGACTCTCAATTAAAATAATGATAGAAATTTTATTTAAATAGTTTTCAAAAATTGATGTCAAAGGAGTGAGGTTGGAAATTCAACTAGGATTAAAACAAATTGGAGCTCTTATTCTTGGAGGTTAAAGGAAAAAAAGTAGGAGGTGTTTGAGATTCTGAAACAATTTAGAAGCACCTTGATCTATCCTTTGTGTTAGACTCAAATTTTGGATTGAACGATATTTAACTTGAGCTATCAACTTTATTAGAACGTTGAGATTTATTCGGAGAAGGTTGATGTCTCATTTTTTTAAACTTACCTCAAACTTAAATCTAAATTGAGCATTAAAAATCAGTAGCCCAAACCTAGCTAATGTAGTACAAATATCGACTCATCTATCCTGGATTGGGGAGCCATCTAACCACATGGGCGCTTTAAAACCATGTATCCAACTTTTATGCAAGAGTGGTAGGAATATTGTTTAGTTAAGTTTGAGGAAATGTGAGCAACATCTAGAGTAGATCCTAATTGGCATTTTAACTTTTGTTTGGTAAATTGATGCTTTGAAATTAAAAAGCAATTAAACTTTTGACTCTTTAAAATTAGTTTCTAATACAATGTATGCTAGTTGAATCGATAAATGCTTAAATCAAAATGAAGCAGTTTTAAAAATGCTTAAAAATAAATTTTATCCTAAGAAATACAGAACTTCCCCTTGATAGGACTGCACCGTAATTGGTCATGTGGCCTATTAGAACCTATAAGTAGAGAGGTGCTTAACAAGGAGGAGAAAATACAATATGTATATATGAGACCCTCAACGATCCGAGCATACTTTTTAAAATGGTTAGAGTTTCTATATGAACTTAAAATTTTTAATTTTATTAAAATAGAAAATATTTTT